CTAATCAAATTATAGAATAATCGGGTAAGTCGGGTGTCGATCTCAGGGAATGGTTTTGACGAATTAATCTATCTACTCCTAAATTAACCTAATTATTAACAAAGAAATGAAATTTATCTAATTTTGCAAGCTTAGATGAACTTTAACTCTTTAACACAAATTCAATCAATTACTAAAAATACTCCCATTTAGTTCAAATCCACTTCTTCTTTCTCGTTAGCTAACAATTATGGATTATCAAAATTGGTTATCTAATTTTATATTATATTAGTAACTAGGTGTGAGATCCATGTATTAAATGGGTTTAATTAAAAAAAATAAATATAAAATTTTAACAATTTAAAAAGTTTGAATTATAAGAAAATTTTGAATAATTAAAATTAATGAGATTTTAATGTATTGAATATATTATATATATAACTTTTTCTAATAAATACTTACATATATATTACCTTACACATTAAATGTGGAATTTTAATTTAATAAAATGAAAAATACAATAAAAAGACAAGTAGAAAATAGAAAATTTAAAAATTCTAGAAAATGTTATGTGTCCAAATGAATAAGAAGATGACATGTGGCAAAAAAACCTTTATTTATTATAGTAGATTTAAATCTAAATTTACCAATATTTAACTTATTCATGTAAAATTATGCATGGTTACACACAATCAAACACATAATTAGTTATGATTATGAATAAGCTATGTAAGATTTATTAGGTAAACATAATTATGGTCATAACATATGTTCTCTAACACAACTAAATTTAATTACTTCGATTACTTACCTAAGATTTGGTCGATCATAGCTCTAGCAATTTAATGTTCACTAAATCGCTAGGTGTCAAGTTCATGTAATTTAATTATCACTAAGCTACACAGAACATTAATTCAAGTAACTAAAGAATCGAATAGTAACATGCTAGGAATTAACAATCAAACACAAGCTTAATACCAACTAATCAAATCCATAATAAATTAACTAAACTATAAGTCGAAGTTTCATCTACCTAAACAGGAGTAACTAAATTCAGCTACTCATACTCAAAATCAAACTAAAACAAATCAAAGTAATATACATGATAAAAGTACCAAACTATTGAACTATTTATATACTTTCTTCTTCTTTTGTGTTGAAAACCCTATTCCAGACCTTCTTATTCTTTGAAAATCATCTCTTGGAGCCTCTTGAATCAGCCAAAAGTCCTCCAAGTCGTAATGGACAAGGATATATATATATATATATATATATATATATATATATATATATATATATATATATATATATATATATATATAGTTTTTGATTTTTCAAAGTCCACGTCGTGAACCAATACCTCTCACGATGTGAATACGAGATATACGTGTTTAACAAGGACTCTTCCACCGGGTGCCTATCTTCTAGAATACTCCAACTCACGTCGTGAAGGTAGACAATTCACGACGTGAATACAACAGATTTCGTGGGTTTTTTATTCTTTCATTCTTCAAGCCTCCAAAGTTCTATGTTTTGACAATTATGGTCCCTTTATTCGAAAATGATTCTGTTTGGCTACAAAAATATAAATTAAGCTTATAAGTATTATTATTCTATGCAAATAACCAAAATACTAATAAAAATATAAATAAATATATCCTAAAAGCATGTATAAATATGACAATATCAATTTGGTAGGATATAGTATATACATCGCAGTAATTAGTTAAGTTGCATGAAAATTATTAATTAAAATTGAAAAAAAAAACATAATTGCGGTGAGACATAAAGCATTTGCAAACTTATGAGTTTTTTTTCCGGGAAATCTACATTAAAGTCTCAAAATTTTGGATCATATTACCTTTTAATCTTAAATTAATTTTTTTATAGAAAAACCTTAAAAGCCGGCAAAAGTTTTCTTTTTGACCGGTGAAACCGGTAACCAATTAAGTTGAAACTATTTCGTAAATTGATCCAAATTATTAAAAAAATTTTGTAAAAAAAATATATGATTTTTGTGCAAACTAAAACCTTATTATATATATATATATATATATATATATATATATATATATATATATATATATATATATATATATATATATATATATATAAAGCATATTTGATGTTTTTTGAAAATTTTAATAGGTACAACTAATGTAGCATCAAATACAATGATAAAATGCTATGAGAAAACGACAATTATTTTTTATAGTAACTCTTATAAATGCTTAGAGAAAACGTCAATTAATTTAAATGTTAACTCTTATCCTACCACCAATCACGGACCCAATCTTCCATTATCTCGCTCCTGCAGCATTCATCTTCCCTATTTGTCGACACAAATATTTTGGGATAATGACTTAAAAGGGTAACGAACTTTCGATTTTTGTCACATTTAGTCACTAAACTTTTTTTCGTTATATATTTGCCATTGAACTATTGAAATTGTTCACATTTTACCCTTATGACCGGCTGTTACCGGTCATAAGGGTAAAATGTTAACAGTTTCAATAGTTTAGTGGCAAATAGATAACGAAAAAAAGTTTAGTGACTAAATGTAAACAAAATCGAAAGTTTGTTTCCCTCTAAAAAGTTCAATGACTAAATGTGAACAAATTTCCTATTGTATTATGTTTTAGCAAAATTATTTATTTTTGTTTAATTGTAGCAACATTTGTTGATAAAGAAATCTATGAAATAAAAAAACAAAATGCAACATCCGGATTTCTAGGTATCATAATTTAAGTATTTTTCTTTTGAGTTAAGAAGAGAGACTCGGCGAGTTGACGCCTCAACTCGTTGAGTAAGATCGCGACTGATGACTCAGATTAATGAATGGACTCGACAAGTCGGTGAGGCGACTCGACGAGTCTGCGCTGTCGGCAGAAACCCTAAATCTTTGGGCCCGAGCCATATTTAAAGGCACTTATGGCCTTCAATTGCCACTACCTTCCCCATAAGTGAGAACCCTAGCGAGCTTGAGTGTGTAGAGTGAGAGGAAGAGCTATCTTGAGCTTTTTGGTGTGATAGATCTGGACCCTTCTAGGTTCAGAGAGCCAAAAATATGAAGCTTTAGTAGAGTAAACCTTGGGGTTCGGAGTTAGGAAGCATTTATGGGATTTTTATGGTAGATATGGTTACTTTCATCTTACACATAGATATGAAGTATTTTATATAAATTACGTGCTATGTGTGCATATTATTTGAATACTTGCTGTCCATGCTGGATGAATGATTTTATACATGTTTTAAAAGATTTAAACGGTATATTTATTTTATATCTACAAATATGTTGCGGATGAAACATGAGTAGATGAAATAGTTGGTGTGTGATGAAATAAAATGATTAGAGATATGTGATGATAGAAAGGTGATGATAATTAGGTATATAGATGATGATGAATATGTGATGTAGGATGAAAGGAGATACCATAACCTTAATCAGCAATGTGGCGATGTAGTCATCTACCAAAGTATAGATGGCGATCACGGACTATTCTAGACAACACAATGGAAACACCAGCATGCCCATAACCTGTAGGTGATGAATTACGAGTTCAGGCGATGTTGTAACTACGTATTCATGCGATGATACTCTAACCCCTTACTATGAATTACGAGTTCAGACGATGTTGTACCCTACATATTCATGGGATGTCACAAATTTCGCATGCCAAACCAATGGTTATAATTCACATCAGTGAGAATGGTTCATTTTTTTGTAAAACCAAAATCAGATTGGAAATTTTGATTTTTTATTTTGGAAAATGTCAAACCATTGGTTTTATATTTCGATTTTGGTTTTTTGTTTTTTTTAAATATATTTTCAGGGTTTTGTTTTTTTGTTTTTTTGTTTTTTTTCTATTTCATAGATTTCTTCATCAACAAATGTTGTTACAATTTAATAAAAATAAATAATTTGCTAAAACATAATACAAGAGGAAGTTTGTTCATATTTAGTCATTGAACTTTTTAGTGGGAAACAAACTTTCGATTTTGTTCATATTTAGTCACTAAACTTTTTTTCGTTATCTATTTGCCATTGAACTATTGAAACTGTTCACATTTTACCCTTATGACCGGCAACAACCGGTCATAAGGGTAAAATGTGAACAGTTTCAATAGTTCAATGGCAAATAGATAACGAAAAAAAGTTTAGTGACTAAATATGACAAAAGTCGAAAGTTCGTTACCCTTTCAAGTCATTATCCCCAAATATTTTTTAAAAAAAAGTCACCTCTCTACATCATTGTACCCCCTTACTACCTTCTCCGTCATCCATGACCACCCTTATTCGAAGCTCTAATTTGTTTTCCAGCTTTTGGCATCACTACTGTTTCTAATGCTTCAATCCAAATCTGTGACCATGAAATATGAAACATCAAGTGAAGAAGAATACTCGGAATTTGTTGCAACACATTAATTTTGGCTAAACCCTAAATGAGTATACAATTTATTTTAGTGCTTATTTTGTGTTGTTCCATTCATTTTTGGTTTTTCTAATCTATTTTCTATGGAAATCTATTTTAATTGGATTTTCAGGTGAGATCCAAGAAATCGATTAGGGAGACCTAGCAAAATGGTTTTTTTTTTTAAACAAGTTGCTTTACCTATTTTGATTTATATTTATCATCGGTTTTATATGTTTTGTTTTGTGCTCATATGTAGAAAAATTTTGTGAATGGTTTTTTTGTGTTCCTTTTTATGTAAGTCTTTTTTCCTTTCTCGTCTTTCTAATTCAGATATCACCAGAAGAACTACTATTTATTACTATATCGGTTTGAGATACTTAAAGGTATTGGTCAAAGCCCTAGGGTCAGCCTCTCTCTATCTAGATTTTGATGAAAATATGAATTTTACAGGTTTCTTGGATTCTAGATATAGGTTTATGGATATAAGGTTTTATCATCAACATAATATTTGTAAGAACCCATGTTTGATATTGGTCATTTGATTGAGATAAGCTACTTTTTTTTTTTTTTTTTTTTATCGTTTTGTTGGTTTTTTTGGTCATTATACAGGTAAATACAAATGATCATATTATCACTTTTATGATTATTCATAACTCTCTCTCTCTCTGAATTGACCATTTTGTTTTTTTACAGAAGATGATCGCAAACAAAATGAGTTGCTTCTTCAACACCGAACCTGCACAAAATGTTACTCTCTATATCTCTATCTCTCATTGTATTCCTTTTATGTATCTGTTGCCAACACCTCTCCCGCTTCCGCCATAGAAGTAAAGGTGTCGACCTACACCTTTACTGCTCCAGCTCCGGCCATTCAGGTACTTCAACTTCTCCTTTTTATCTATATGTTCCTGCTCTCCGATTCCCCCTCCATCGCCTGATTTGTCCAGGGGCTTCTCGGTTTCCATTTTGTGTCCTAGCTTACCACAAAGGTGTTCCTGATGTACTCCAATGGTTACGGGATTCCAATAGATACCCAAAAAGGTTTGATTTTCAGGTTTTAAACTTCAAATTTTAACTTTACTTCAAATATGATGAATTCTGAATTTTATGATTTCGGTTTTCATGTCTTTCCTATTTTGTTTTGGTCCCTGGTGATAGAAGACCACGTTTTTTGGTGTATCGGGAAAGGCAGAATGAAGAAGAAATCACATGTTGAGCTCTGTCGTGGAATTAGTGAATCGAAGACAGAAGTAGGTATATTTCTGATTGTAGCTAATGTACGCAATATTCGTATGATGTTTCACTATCTTTATAGCTTTTGATTGAGTGAAACCTAAAGGATTATGGAATCTAATAAATAGAAAAATGGAGTTTATATAAACGATATTTGTTTTTTTAATTATAAAGATTTGACTAACTCAGACGTTGCCTAAGTCGTAACTCTTCAAATCTGTTGATCATCTTAATTTCGAATTAAGATAAGGTACATCATAAACTGTCATAGAGTCGTATAGTTTATACTTTATCTTATATCATTCCAAATTAAACTATTTTTGTGTAATTTTTAGATATGAGATTGGAGACCATCTTCGTGTACACTGTGAGAACTTAAGTGAATTTGTTGACGATGCTAAAAGATCGGTAAGGTTAGCACCAAATACTTATTTGTCACTACATAATGGTAAGTAAAGTTGCATAATATTTCATGCGACGATGTCATCTCACAAAACAATAATACAATTTTTGTTAAATTTAAAAAATGGAAAGTTAACTAACATATTATTTTTCAATATTTTAAAAAATTTGTTTATCTTGCCACAAATTAAAAAAAAAAAAAAAAAAACCAATTTAATGGAGATCTATACCATCATTAAAGGGTCTATCGGAAACTTCTCACCTTTTATCTCAGCTAAAGTTTGTTAATTAGTAACTTTATATCATCATGATTCCCGAGTCTGATTTAAATTACTTTATTTACTCCTGTAGAAAAATGGATTATCGCTTTGATCGATTTCAATCGACTTCAATAAGGAGTTAAAGTGTCGTTTACATGAATACATAGTTCTATCCTTTAATCAGCTTCCAGATTGGGTATGGGCTTTTCATTTATCATATCAAATGCAGTTGATTTAATAATGTTCATGTTTCTTGATACGAGTCATCAACCAAATGCAAATTCAGTTACACAAGCAAAAGGTTATAGAAAGGTATTAATATTATATGTGGTTATTATCTTCTTTTTTATTATTTCCGGGTTTACACGTTACTTTTCTTTTGATTTTTTAAAAAATTTTATTTAATGGAAAATTGTATCTGTTTGTTTACAAAAAAAATATATATATATTATAATTGGTGATACAGTTTCAAGACACTCCCTAACAAGAAACAGATGAAGATCTTGAATTCAGATCCCTTCTAACCAAATTTGTAAGTCCCGTGCACTTATTTGAACACTAAAAAAGTAACTATTTTTTTAATTATAAAATTTGTAAAAGTACATACGTTAAATTTATTTAATTGGTTTGTAAACAGCTGCCACTTACTCCTGTATGGTTTGTATGAACCGATAACTGATGTAGAGAAATTAATTATTAATAATGTTTACTTGAAGAAGATGAAAATTGGATATTTAAGCTTTTACAAATTATTTAAAGGAGTTGGACATCATTGCTAAGTTGTGTTGTTGAGATTAGATTTTTTTATAGTGGGTGAAAGTCATTCCCCACAAGATTGTGTGGCATGTTAAAAAAAAAAAAAAAAATTGGTCTTCTGATTATCATTTCATGACAAAGTTGTCACCAATTTCTTTTTCTTATTTCCTTTTTTCTTAAATTTTAGACGTAACTTTGAACTGGAATAGTTGTACGTTTTGATTATTTTCTTGAATGTTAATTATCTATTATGTCTCATCGGTTTTTAATTTTTTCACACAGAAAAAGGAAGCATTCACATCGAGAACCCGTGCATTGATCTAAATATGGAGCAGTTGTAACTATTATCTGGATTTACAGGTATATAACACACAATATGATTTCTTCTATTTTATAACCCCAAAAAAATATATTTTCTGGTTTCTTATAAAGTTTGAGCTCTCAAAGCCTCCACAACAGATGGAGAGGAATACAATTGATTTAATTACGAATGTATGTTCTTATTATAAATTTCAGGGTCAATTTCATACTCTAAAAACCAAGTAGTAGAAATCCGCTTATATTCGCATTAATTGTTTAATTTAGATCAAATTGTTCGTATTATGTTTGAATTTAGAGATCAATGTATTCTGGAAGTTGTAAATATAATCTCCTATTTCAATCCATAATAAACTGGTCTTAATCAGACGAAATGACCATTTTACCCTTTATCTTTGCCTTTTTTTTCACCCAACATTTTGCACACACTAAAAAAATCACAAGTATCTTTATAATTGATGAAATTCAAGGATTTTTTTATTTCGGAATGCAAGGGTAAAATGGTCAATGAATATTGATTTTTTTGTTCGCACCAACATAATAGCATCAGAACACATGGTTTCATTAATTGCATAAGCTCTTTGTACATTATCTAACACATTATCTTCACATTTTGTAGGCTGACCATTGTCAATTTCAAAGAGGTGTATGTACAATGAAACCAATTTTTCTTACAAGCTGATTTGATTTACTTTTGAAAACCATAGAGTTTTGACCGAAAATAACTTTTTCGACACATTTTTAATAATATTTCTGTGCTGGAAGGTGCTCATCTATTTAAAATTCTTTTATGCCACATAAATGGAAGCATGTTGATATATTACTGCAATTCAAACACATTTATATAATTTTTCAGTTTATGGATTTTTTTTTTTACCTTCGACATTTTTCTATTGGAATAGGTTTTCAGGTAGATGTCGGTTCCAAACGATGGTGTATTTCCTTACATTAATCTAATCAGGTAAATATTTCCTTGGTCGGACCTTAGTTCTTATTCTTGGTTAGAATGATTTAGTTTTGAACCCTCTTTCACATGGAGATCTTATGTTAGAAATTTTATTATACATTCATGTGGAATAAATCTGCATGTGTACTTTATCAGGTAATCACTTTATGTAGTTGGATTTGTGCGACCAACAATACCAATTTTTTAATCCAACGTTCATATGAACTACTGAAAAAGAAAATATTGCAGTTACTTCATGGGTATATATTGTTTCAATTTGCAAACAACTTTCATCCATTGTCTATATTCATGAAATTTGATTATGTTTATATTTTCTTCATATTCCGGTAACATATATCTTTTTTATTATATATTTTGGATTCTTTTCTAAATTTCGCTTTAATATACTATCTTTATGTTAAATGTTTGATAGTTAATTATTTGATTCTTTCGTCATCTGTTAGATGTGGCCACCACCGGAGAATAAAGAGTACCCGACAACTGATTCAGGAATGATAAACAAAAGGGAAAAAAGAAAGGTTCTACAAAAACAAACAATCAGTAATAAAATGATTTGTGCATGTTTTATTATTTTATTTTAATATTTGGTTGTAGGTTAGATACAAAGGAGCAGAATATTAGTAGATTGTTGACTGTCATGATCACAAAATTGTGAACACGCAATCAGAAGTTTTTTCCAAAAAAAAAGTTACATCAAATTAATCAGGTTAATTTTATTAATATAAAAAGTGTGCAGGGGCAATATGGTCCTAAAAATGTAATTTTTTTTAACATTAAAACATTATTCAGGGGAATATAGTCCTAAAACTATAAAAATTGATTTTTATTTTTTTAAAAATACTAAAAATTTGCTATTTTTCTGACCTTTGTTGATATTGATACATTCAAATTTCTTAGTTGGGTTTTGCAGATCACAATTTCATACGATGATCACTCCCTTATTTCATTAAGATGGAAACCAGAAGGAATTCAAAATTTGAAGTTGGAATCAGCATACACCAGATTGATGTATGGTGATTTTTTGTTGTACTATTATGCAACTTTTTTTTTAAATTGTTGTCATTTATGTTTTTTTAGGGACTAATCATTTCTAATGTTATTTTAAAGCACGTCGACTCAACATTTTGTAAGCATGAAATATTTTTTGAAATAACTAAAAGTTTTCCTAACTATGACATTGTACTTCAAAAGTATAATGCTATAAAAAAAACCAACACCTTCCGTCCCGCGCAACGCGTGGGTTACCATCTAGTTATTATTATTATTATTATTATTATTATAAATAAGTATATACTATTTTTTAAATTCGTTATTATTAATATTTTTAATTATACATATAAATACATTTAAATGAAGAGAAATTAATTATCCTCCTACTATTATTCCTATATATTTTCCTATCCATCTGAATTGATGACAAGTGCACTAAAATATTATTAATCTTATTCAAATATGACACATGTTACTATTTCACATTGGTAAGAAGATAAGGCCGGACGGAGCGGGTGCGGAGAAAGGAAGCAGGAGGCTTTCCGCCCGGCGGAACATCGCACCGTCGGCGCGGGGAAGGTGTGTGCGGGAAACAGAGAGGGGAGCCTCTCCCGCTCTCTCTCTCTTGCTGTGATCGGCTTATTATTATTTTTTTTTTTTTTTGAAAAACTATCGTTGATTAACGGTAAAAAGTGATTTTTTTGGTGGCTATAACGGCTACTTTCTTTTTAATTATTTATTTATTTATTTTTATCCTTTTACAACTAGTATAAATATATACATATAACTCTTAAACATATCACACTATTCTCTATTCTTTCTACTTTATATCAACAAAAAAAAAAAGGAATCCCGACAAGCAAACACCAAGTTCCGATCGACGGAAAAAAAGTCATGGTTCGACAAGCAAACATATCCTTACTCGCAACTTTTTTGCTATCGATTCATCCCAGCAAGGAGTTTACCACCCCCAACTCGATGCTCCCATTCATTCCCCACTACAATTCTAATACCAAAATATTGGCCAATATTACCCGATGCAAGTTCCAAATGTCCCGTCGCAAATGTTTTCAAACTTTGTTGTAGTTCTGGATCAACAATCGTCAAATCAACCTCAACCCCAAACTCAACCTGAAACTCAAACCCAAACCCAACACCACCACCAACTTGTCGATGAATCGGATGATGCGGAAGAAGAAGACATGGTTCCCGATCGGATGATGCGGAAGAAGAAGATATGGTTCCCGAAACTCAACCACCACCACAAAGAGCTAAAGGGAAAAAACAAGTGCGCGAGTGTGTCGCACAGCTGGGAAGAAAAAAAGTCGACACTATGGGTTCCACATGAAGAGCTAGTTTTGGTCAAAGCTTGGGTTGATATTTCTGAAGATTTGATTAAGGGAAACGCACAACCGGGAGAACATTTTTGGTTTCGCATTTTAGAACGATTTCGAGAGGAGTTAGGAAAATGTGACAACTACCGTACGAAACATCAACTTAACTCGAAGTTTCGAGAAATAGCAAAGGGGGTTTCAAAAATTAACGGGTTGTACACCAACCTAAAAACCCAACGAAAAAGTGGCCAAGGCGACGAAAAACACTTCAAGAAGTGTTGCAGTTTTACCTTGAGGAAGTCGGAAAACCATTCAAGTGGCACGATTGTTGGAAATTATTGGTTCGAAGTCCTAGGTGGAAAAAATACGAGCGGGATTTTATTTTTGGAGTCCAACAATCAAAGCGAACAAAAACGGGCTCTAGTGGTTACACAACCTCCTCCGATACTTGGGTCAGTCTAGATTTAAATCAGGACGACGAACTCAAGCTAGAAGAAATTGAACGCCCAATGGGTAGGGACAAAGCGAAGAGAAAGAGAAAAGAGACTTCTTCGAGTGCATCTGATTTCAGTGTGGACATTGACGAAATGCGGAAGATAACATCGTCGTTTGATCGATATAATCTAAATTTCTCCGAACGTCTGGCTTTCAACAAAGAAAAAGAAGAAACACGGAAAAAGGAGCGGGCGGAGAGACAAAAAATGGAAGACATGAAGTTTTTGATGGAAAACGTCGATCATCTCTCAGGACCGTCTCTCGAGCTCGTAATGAAGAAGAGGGAAAAAAATTTTGAAAAAATATTTTTCGTAGGTCGTTGGTGGTTTGTTTGATTTTTAGTTTATGTGTGTGTGTGTGTTTTTTTTAATTTTCTACTTTTTTATATTTTAGGTTTAATGTAAGTTTTATTTTAATTAATGAAATGCTTTTTATTTTTAATTAAGTTTTATATTTAGTATTAATTTAAAAATTATAATTCATAACAAAAAAAATTAATTTTATTTAAAAAAAAAAAAAAAAAGTGAGGGAAGGGCTTCCCACCCACTCCTTGGCTTTTAGGTGAGGGAAAGGAGAGTGAGGGAAAGAGGGGTATGACCCACCAAAAGTGAGAGAAGCTTCCCTCCCACTCCTTCCGGTCTAAGTAGGAATATTAATATTTAACAATTTAAAAGAAGTTGTATATTTTTAAAATTGCTCATAAGCAGTGTTATGTGTATATGTTGTGTGTTTAATATTTAACGATGCAAGATTATGATTGAGTTTGCAACCACATGTATTAGTGTGTGAGTGTGAGCTATAGGTATATATCGTGTGCATGAGTATTTAAATTACTAACATGTTTTTTTTTTATTACTTTATTCATGTGGTTTTTTGAAAACGTAGTAGATGTAGTGTGATAAAGCAAAATATATCATATTATTTTTTATTAAACAATATATTGTAATTAATACTTTTGAATTTTGATATAGGCTACCTATGTAGATGTTTGTTTTAAATCTGTTGGATTTAAAAAGAAATCCTTCAACCTTAAACAATTTTGTATACAAAGTGAGAAATCATTCTACCTTAAACTATATATAAACAATTTTACGAATACGTAACTTATTTTAAAATGTTAAATGTTAATATTCTGAATTGAAAAACAATAATAACAAATATGAAATAGAAATATATAAAGTGAGAATACACAAGCAAACATTTATGATTTTAATGCTTAAAGTAGCACCATCCCTTCCACTTCCATCCTTAAAAAAAATATCTTTAATATTTTTTTTTCATTTAAGGTATTTATATATATTATTAACAATATTAATATTAAGAAAATTAAAAACACAATATAATAATAATAATAATAATAATAATAATAATAGTAATAATAACAACAACAACAACAACAACAACACCACCACCACTAACAACAACAACAACAACAACAACAACAACAATAATAATAATAATAATAATAATAATAATAATAATAATATAATGGTTAATGACCTAGAAAGGTAACAAATTTTTGTCTTTGTCCTCATTTAGGTAATCATGTTTTTTTCGTTCACGTTTGACCATTAAACTTGTTTGATCTGTTCAAAATAGGGTAATATAACTTGTAATTATGGTAATATTACCCTATTATGAACATGTCAAACAAGTTTCTTAGTCAAATGTGTATGCAGAAACATGGTTACCTAAATACAGACAAAAATGAAAGTTTCTTTCCCGTTTTGGTAATACTGGACAAAAACTGTCTTAGGGAATGTGTGCCTTGGGACCAGGCTCCAACAATCAATGAACAATTAGGTTAGGTTTGGTATAACCCAATTTAGTCCCGATTAGTCATGGGCTAAGCTGTGTTGCTCGGTCTTTAAAACACATACAACCTAGATCTTTAAGCGTATACAACCTAACCCCTAACTAGCTGGACCTAAATTGGGTTAGCCCAAGACTTAACCTTCTCCTCATACACAAGACCGGACAACCTAATTTCATTTCACATCAATGGATCTTATGACTGCTTGTGTCACACCCCCAAACCAGAACGGCGGAAACGTTCGGGGGCGGAGGACGTCATATTCAGTATCATAACAGTTCATAGTAAGGAAAGTAGACACCACCATACATATAAAGGTTTCAAAATGTTTACATAATTGTATTTGTTACATGCTCAAAAGATAAATACATAAACATCTTTCAAAAGCAGTAATTAACGTCAGAGCGTTAATCCCCAAAAGTTGGTTTCCAAACCTGCTTAGCGGTTCCCTGAGAATACAAGTTATTTCAAAGAAAAAAAAATGTCAACAATTAAGTTGGTGAGTTCATAAGCGGTTTTGAGAAAAATATATGCCATTCCAAAGTGCGTGCGTTTTCCAAGAAAATCCCTTATTTCCTTATAAAGTATGAAATGCGTATGAATGTTCGTGTTGTGAATTGTAAATAGTTGCACCAGGAAAATTCCTTATTTTCCTATTAGTTGATTGTTTTGGATACAGGAAAATCCCTTATTTTCCTAAAGTAACAGGGAGTCTCTAATGTCCAAGACTGAAAATCGCAAGCAACTGACATGCTTAAAGGTTGAGGCATAGTTTTATATAGTAAAGCTATAAGAAGATCACACTCGTTTGATGAAGAATAATTTTAATAGCTACTCGTTCATAAAATCAGACTACCATAATAATTGTCTATCCGGTGAGTTTTATAACCATACTAAACATAATATGCATGTGGCGACGGTCTTTAGGTGTAACACCCAAAGTTTCAAAGGCCATGAAAGGAAAGGAAAGCCCTAAATTAAGGGCCGACTCGGCGAGTCCGAGCGGGATCCGGGTCGAGGTGTAAGCGACCGACTCGGCGAGTCGGTCAAGGTGACTCGCCGAGTTTGGTCTGTGCGTGGAAAACCCTAAATTCGGGACTTGGAGCCTATATAAATGTCTTAATCTTCTTCCTAGGGTTCCTTACTGCCTC